GCAAGTTATATTGATCAGCAAGATTTTAAAGAAAAAATGTCAGAAAAACATCTGTAAAATGCATTCTGGGAAAGCAAATTTTTGTGATGATCTTTCAATACTCAGTTCAAAAAAAAAAAAAGAAACAATAAATAATTCCTGAATTAAAATGGTTGGAAAACCCGGTATAATAGACGAGGGGTCAGTAGGGAATTTGGGAATTTACTCAAGCACGGCAGCTATGTATTTCGATCGCCAGCTTATTTTTTTGCCAGATCGCGTATAGCTCGTGCTTCCGCTTCGTCGCTTATGGGGCAGACGAAAGGTCTTTTGTTGGTGCGATTTATTTATTTTATATGTCTTAAGCTTTTTTCTTCAGAATAAAGGATAAAGAAAGTCGATGTTGTATGAAACGTATTTCACGGACTCAATAATGGTAACTGAGTGATTTGTTTTAATTGGATTTGTCTTTATCGCCATCCGATTTTACGGAAATTAACTTTGAAGTACTGAAACCTACGAAAGTAGTTGTATAAAAAAAGTTAAGGCAGGCACCCCGACACGCTTACTGCTTTCGGAGCAGATATGGTAGATGTTCATTTCTCTATATATATGGCTCGGCGGCGTTGCAGTATACCGATTTTAACCATCTTTCAAACCTAATATTTTCCTAGTAATTCTATGAAGAGTTAGCCAATCTATGCAGTTTTCTTTATCTCTGAGGATCATTTTGAGACAAATTCAGGACCATTGCCGAACTAATTCAATACTATTTTAGGACTAGTTCAGGACCATTTCGGGATAGTTGCAAGACTTCTACGAAGTCATTGCAGGAGAAGTTCGCGGCTTTGTGGCCTGTTAAGGACTACTTCAGGACCGGGATCATTTCGGGACCGTTTCGGCATAGGGATAATTTCCGGCGATTTAGAAGCTATTTCAGGACCATTGCGGTAATAGCTCATCAACATTCCGTGATAGTTCACTACTCATTTAGGACAATTTCAGGAGCATTTCGGATGTTGTTTAATATCATTTTGGCAATAAAAAGAGACTATTTGGGACCGTATAAAGACGTGTTCGAGATCCTTTCGAGGCAAGCTCACGTATTTTTCAGAACCATTTCAGGAATATTCCAGAAAAATTTTGAGACTATCTCGGGATCATTTCGGGGTAGTATGAAACTAATTACGAAATGATGCTGAAAGGCTATTCGACTGTTCCAGAAGTGGTTATGGAAAGATCGTGTACTAGTCCTAACAAAATGAACGAAATGAAATGAAATTAATGGCTAACCTTTTTCTGCATGTACATACTTAATCGCCTAATGCATTGCCAAGCCGATGTTTATACATCAAATTTCACAAGTACCTCATACTCATGTGTAGTATTCTTCAGCCTCGACAAAAAATGAGAGGAAAATTAGAAAAAAAAATAAATTCTGTTTAAACGCTACGAAGTAATTAAAAGATTGTAAAAGTAGACAATGAAAATTCGAAAATCATTTGTTTTGTCAACTTTACAATAAAACATTTTTGATTGCTTGTAATAGTAAAAGTGGCAATGAAGTTTGTCCATGAAACTCTTTGTTGCTAAAGTCTTTGTCACACTCACACTATTGTTAATAGTGCCATAACTTGGCTCGCATAATTTTCGTTGGTATAGCAAGAGCTTTTCTCCGTTGATCTGCAATAAAATGTCAATAAGCCAGAACAACGCAAAGCACTAAAAGCGAAAGTTAAATTATCATGAATGAGTGGCCGGCGTTGTAGCGCTTGCAAATATATGTACATACATACATGCATACATATGAGCAAGCATATGTATAAACATAAAAAGTATAATACATTTTTAATTTACGTTCACATGCATGCCGATTTACCATAGCGACAATTATGACCTGCACTTTTCCATTTATTCATACATTTTTTCTTTTTTGTTTAGCAACGATTTTTTTTTTCCTACCTCCACTCCACTTTCTTCTATTTATGCGACTAGGTTTGATTATGTGGTTCATCGGGGGGTGTGTGTGTGTATGTTTACGTTGTTGAAAAGTGAAAACTTTAACAAAACGTTACAACTATAACAACAATACATTTGTAGTATGTAAACAATTATTTGTAAATGCAAAAACTATACAAAAAGTTAATGTTGCCATTAAAAAAATGGAAACGACAAATTGCAGCTCAACGGAAAGTCTGACCACAAATGACAATTAAAAGAGATATTAATTTGTTTATTCAGGCAGTGGAAAAAGTAACCAATTTTATATAGAGTAAACGATGAAAGTAGAAAAAATGGTATAGTGAGAGCGAAAGTGATTGCAAAATTACAAAACTTTGTGATTCAGTATAGAAATAGCGATAGGAATGCACACAAAGCGCTCTGTTATATTTTCAGTGGGTTTGTGGGTAATTGTACATTGCCTATTTGATTTGCATATACATACAACTGTGGTCAGCTGATTAAGTCAACTCGTTGACTCGTTTGGGCCATTTTTCTTTTGCTTATTTAATGTTTATATCTTCTAATAAAATTTTAGCACTTTACATAACCAGTGCAACATAAATTCATATTTCATACTTCGTACAAATATTATGAAAAACCAACAAACTTTAACAATTACGTCCAAAAATTTTAAACTTTTTTTTAGAATTTTTAGAAATATCTTGGGTATGCAGTTTTGTAGTTAAATAAGTTTTGTTAAGTTAAATCGCGTTGATTTTTGATTTTTTTTTTGCTGATGGTACTAGGCATTTTCTCCTATACAAACAAAACTGTCGAGCATACTTTATATGGAAGAAAATGCACAGCACTGTCAGCCGAAAAAAACTATTAAAAATCAACCTAACTAAAATGTAATGAGCTACAAAACTGCATACCCTAAATTTTTCTAAAAATTCTGAATAAAAAGTTGATTGAATTTGCATAAGTTTTGTACGAAGTATGCGAATTTGTTGCTTCTGCAGGACTGGCTGGAAAAAAAATTAAAAGGAAGAATCAGTCATTGGCTGGTTGAATTTGGAGTGGTTAAAATTTAATTCTAGCAGCTTATTGATTAACACTATATGGCAGCAGAAGCTTCGATATAAATTTAAACTTATATAAAAAATCGTACGTAAATATGTACATAGATAAAGAAAAGGATAAAGGTAAAAATAAAAACAAAAGATACAGGCAAAATGAAGATCAAGGTAAATTTAAACGCTTTGCTTTGTATATAAGATGTAGATGAAGAAAATGAGAAAAAAATTAAAAGTAAAAACAAAGATAAATATGTATAAAGAAAAAGATGAGGATGAGGATACCGATACAATTAGAGATGAAAATGGAGGAAGAAAGATTAAAATAAAGGTAATTGCAGAGAAAAGGATATAGATAGAGAAACAGAGACTACATTTGGGAATTATTTCGGGATTTTAGAGATTTTATCGGGTTCTTATCGATATTTTTATCGCTTTTGTTATCGAAGTTTTTATCAATTTTATTATCGTTTTTCTTATCAATATTGTTACCGATTTTACTATCAATTTTTTCGGAACTTGTCCATATAATAATCGATTTTGTTATCGATATTTCTTTCGATATTTTTATCGATTTTGTTATCAATATTTTTATCGATTTTGTTATCGATATTGTTATCGATTTTGTTATTGATATTGTTAACGATATATTGATGGATGTTACTATAAAAATAAAGATAAAAGAAAACAGGATAACATAAATATAATTAAACGAATAGGGTATAGGTAGGGATCTAGATAGAAAAAAGACAAAAATATTACCTTAAGCAAAAGCAGATGTATGTATGTAAATATCGTTACCTTAATACAGAAAGGCCCTAGCTCATATAGTCGCTGAAATGCAAAAACAACTTAACTGACTAAAATTTTGTATTTCTTAAAATGATGTGGGGACTTATAATTCGATGAAACGCATCATTTTCGATCGAAAAGGGAATTTTTAATTTTTACTTAGTTACGCTTTTTGTATTTCAGCGACGATATAAGATAGGACCTTCTATATTAAGATAACGATATGTATATTGGTTAAAAGACAAACTAGATATGTAAAGTAAGTTTCACTTCGGCAGTGTGGCCCATGCGCACTTACTTTTTTAGCTACTTTTTGGTATATATATTTCTCCTAAATGCTTGAAATCCAGCTCTCAAGAAAAATCGTAAGGAATATTTAGCGTGAAAATCCTCCTCGCATTTGCTATAAATTTTCTTGAAGAAATAACTTTGTATACGAGATTTTTTTTCTTGAGAGCTGCAAACTGATTGAATAAATTTTTGTAGACGAAAATTTCTTTTCCGTTTCTTGTGCGTCGTTTTATAAAATTTTTTGTTTTTCTTGAGAGCTGGAAACAGCACTTCGTTCCTTACAAGCCCATATTTTTCGTTGAAAAAGTTTATTCAAATACAAAGAAAATTGTTAGTTTTTTTTTTAAAATTCCCACTAAATCATATTTCCATTAAATGCAGAGAGATTTTTTCATGAATTCAAAATAAAATTTTAAAAATATATGAGCACAGAATTTCATACACAACCAAATGCCATAGTAAAATGAAGACATGCAAGTACTTGCCACCAGAGTTTTACACGCTAACTTAACAACCATGAATTTGCCACTTTACCAAATCGCGGTCGAACTGCTGCAACAAAGCCCAGTCGACCTACCAACGAAACGTGTTTGGTTGCAACACAAAAATAAAATACTAAAAAAAAAAGCTGAATAACAAGAAAACCGGCAGCAGTAAATGCAGCTATGCAAATGCCACTTATAATGGCCATACTTTGCAGTTTCCTGCGTTGCATTTCTTCCACATTTTTGGCGTGCATACTTGCTAGCCATGACTATCTACTTCTCTCTGCACCTTCATGGGCAGCTTGACTATAGGCCAAAGTCAAGGCAAAATAAGAATGCAAATACAAAACACAAGAAGGCAAAAGAAGAAAAAAAAAACGGCAATGATGTTAGTAAATGCCATGCAAAAATTTTACAGTCTTTGAACACTTACCATGCAGGTCAAGAGGAAGATAAGGCTGCAGCAACGTTGTTCGGTGGCGGTGGTGCTGGTTGGTGGTAGTGCTCGAAGATGCGCGCGATCAAATGCTGACGACGCAACTCCACTTGTGCCACAAAAGCGGTGCGGGTAATTGCGTGCTGTACTTAGCTGCCACTTGTGGTGCTGGTTGTTGTTGTTGTTGTGGTTATTGCCGCTAGTGGCAAATGCAGCTGATGCTATAGCTGCGCACGCAGTCTGCGGCGGTTTCAATGCGCCGATATAAAAACTGCGTTGCAAGCGCTTTTGTGGTGCATTTGTGTTGGCTGGCAATTTAAATATACAATTTACAACGCATGCGCGCCAGTTTGCTTAACGTTTTTGCTGCCAACTATTTTTTTTTTGTGTTTTTAATTTTGCTCCGGGCTATCTTTTGAGATCGTGGCTGGTAGTTCGGGCGACTGCAAGTGAGGCGCAAAATGCTGTGGCCTCAAATGCAGTTAGTTAGTTTAAAGCTCCTTGCCACCGACTGACTGGTTGGCCGCGTTAAATGCTTGCTGGTTTTGTTGATTTTTTCTTTTGTTGTCGCTGCTGCTGGTTGCTGGCAATTATTATGCAGCGAAACTTTTGTGTGAAGCGATGCACGCAAAGCAGCTCAAAGTCATTTATTCGATGATTGGCTGCGAGAGGGGCTTTGTTGCAAGAACTAGACCACTACACTGGTGAGATGAGAAATTGTGAGGATGGGTGGGTGGGTGCGCATGTTATGGAGGAGAAGATACACAACAGTTGTCAGTTGGTATGTCGATCGATTGAAAAATGCGGATACGTTGCTCAGTTGGTTTGGTAGAAAGATGAGTTCATTGGTGAGGTTCTTTCTGATCTTTCACTTTGTGTTTAGTCCAATATATTTTGTGGATTAGTTTCGAGTTGGTATTTCCATTGCATGAAAAATTTCTTTAAATAGAAGTTTATTTTTATTTTTTTAAACTATTTATTATCAAAGGTAATATTATTTTTGAATTTTTCATTATATTTTATATTCTGTGTGATATTATTAGGTATAAACCCCTTTAGCAAATAAAAATAATTTTTTTGGAAACATCTGACTAGACTCTAAACTGTTTCTTTCCCATAACCCGCTAATCATTGGCAAGGATACATCTTTTAAGATAATTTGATTTTGTTTAGCAACAATTTTTGTTGATAAATTCAACAACATTTTTCTTTCTTTTGGTACAAATTTTATTTCTTTACATTGCACTGAAACTTTAAATATTTTTTTTTTTGAATTAATCATATCCTTGAGTTCTAGATGATCGGTGCTACAGCTGTGCTTTGGAAGCATTTATGTGAAGAACCATATAAATAAGATTAAGCAATTAGACTTATTCTTGGTTAGAAAATGACAGCTAACCCAGTTCGGTCAAACACAAAACAAAATTTTGTTTGTGTGATGTGTAAAAAAAAATATACTATTTCGGATATAGTTACATGTAAAATCGTAGAAGATTGAAAGCTATTTATCACGTTGCTACATCAGGGAGAAATTATTTCATAAGAACATTTTTTTTTTGGCTGGCAGACAGAGTTTTATGACTAAAAAGGTGAAAGGGTCACAAACCCCCCGTTTTTTTCAAAATACTTTTTTCTCTTCCCATTTCTTCATTTGTCTTTCTAATAAATTTTAAGTGGCAACAGTTCACACTTCCTATCATTATTTTAGGTCATTGTGCTTTTTAAATACATTCTTTGTAATTTTTCATTGAAAACTTTTTCTTTTTGTTTCTAACTAATTTACGAGCATTTTTATGTTTGTGTAAGCAATAAATTTAATTAAATTTATTTTCACAACGCACGCGCACACACAATTCTGTTCTTTAAATTAAATTTCTAATTTGGAACACACGCATGCGCACAAACGAACATATTTAATTTATGGCAAGGCTTATGCTTTCACGTGCATAAATAAGTGTACGACTGCCTGTCTGCATTTACCCGCATCTCGGTAATACATAAATATTATTTTTTATCATAATTAAATGAGTTTCTTAAACTTTTCTCCTCGCTGCTGTGGCTTGCATACTTTTCACTTTTTTGTTTTATTTTTTTTTTTTTAAGTTCCATGCTTTGTTTGTATTTGTTATTTACCTTTTTTGTATTCTTTATTTTTTTATTTATTTTGCATTCACGTTTAGTAAGCTGAGCTTTTCCACTACCTCGCTTACTTTATATGCTTCTAGTATGTTTCTTACTACAAGTGTTCACTGTTTTAGTTGTTGTTGTGCTTGCCTTTAATTTCATTTGCCACACTCACTTAGCCAGTTAGAAAAGTTTCTATGTTCGTTTGTCTCGCTGGCTGACTTTCTTTGTTACTTTGTTGCCAATGCTGTTTGGTTTGAAGTTTCGTATTTAATTGTTGTTGTTGTTTTCTTACTACTTAGTGGCAGTGCGTAGTGATTACTGCGATTTCCGTTAGTTCTTTTATTATTCATGTGTTATTAAAAAGTTTTATTTCAGTGATTCTGCGGTGTTCTATTCCGCATTTTCACAGCCACATTGAATGTAAGTAGCATATCGGAGTTGCCATGTTTTGCGGCTTCAAGTTTAAGTAAAGTAATGTTTAATTCTATAACAATTTCAAGGTTTAAAAATTTAATTTTGAAAAGGTTTTTGCATCAAACTCTACTGTTTTAATTCATTAATACTTTATATAAATCTGGAAGTTAAGCCTTGAAGTGGCATCACACAATTTCAGTTCTACTTATATTAACTTAAAGTAGCAAAGTGTTACAAATATTAACCAGATTATGCGCCCAATAGCAAAAAGTGCAACTACATACTTTGGCGGAAGACCCTTTTTTCTATATTTTTCAAAAAGCCAACTTTCTTGATCAAAAACCAAATTCTTACGAATCTCGTATTAATCTGTTTAGTTAAAGAGACAAATCTCTTGTTAAGAGTGAATGTCTGCTAAGTCCGGTTTTTCTAATTTTACAGGCGAGGAAAAAACTGCTTATTGCCATTTCTCCTAATACTTTTCAAAGCTTTCGATGTTAATTACGAGATTTCGCATTATCTAGCCCTAACGAATTTTTTATGGCTTTTTGAAAATTAGCAAAGTTGTCCTTAATTGAATAAAAACTAGAAGAAATAAAACAAGTACCGTAATACTATTGGAAACAATGCATTTTTAATATCTTCTGCCTCCTTTATCAATATATGGGTTTTCACAAAAAAATGAACTATTCACTCTAAGGGCAAATTTCACATAGCATAGTTCACTCAGAATCGGCAGCTAACTACAGATTTTCAATACAAAAATTCACTGAAATTGGCCCTAAGCTGACGAAATAATGCTTTGAACAAAAGACTTAAGATGCGAACTTTTAAATGATTTTAGGTATTACTGATCCATTTATTATTCTTAAGATGATATATCTCGATGCTATTCAACTTTTTTAAAAGTTATTACATTTTAACTAACTATACAAAATGCATGGTCTGTATACCCAGAACGTTTGCTGCCTTTACATATAAAAAAAAAAAACCAAAACCGAGGAACAGTGTGATAAATAATGGGAATATTTTTCATTTCTAAAACCTGAGGAAGTCGTACGATGGAAAGATATTTGGGTCTAATTAAGAGCTCATCACTGCACAGATATGTAATTTTGAAGACTTTCAGTAGGCCTAGTATTTTGGGAAACATTTGAGAAATGCTGGAATACATTCAGCTAAAGAAGGCTATAATGAAAAATTTAATATTTAAATATTTTCCTATTACATGACTATCTCTTTCTATTTCGAAATTGACACAAGCTAAGTAAACTAAATAGTGAAAAAAAAAAAATAAATAAAAAAAAAATTACCTAACCCAAAATTTTTGATCTTTGAATTTAAAAATTGGTTCTGGAATCTTCAGCTTTTCAGCAGCGTTTCTGGATCAAACTAAAAAAACACCAGCAATGCGGTATTTAAATTGGGAGCATATTTTCCAACGAAAGACTTAAGTCGCGAACCCAACGTAAAATTTTTTGAAATGAAATTTAATTCGACTGTTTAGTTTTTCACAACATTTTTAATTTAGTTTAATTCAATTTAATTGTATTTTATTTTGGTTAATTTAATTTTATTTGTTTTCAATTTAATTTAATTTAATTTAATTTAATTTAATTTAATTTAATTTAATTTAATTTAATTTTATTTTATTTTATTTTATTTTATATTTTTTTAATTTTATTTTATTTCATTGGATCTTTTTTTACTTAATTAATTTATTTTTTTATTTTATTACCATGCAACAAAAAGAATAAATAAAACTCACTTCATAAAATATCGTTTCAATATTAATGTAGTTTGTAGTTTAAGGTTCAATGTCGTATCCTTGAACTGTTTGTAATTAAAGTCCACATTTAAATATTAAAAGCTATTAAAAGCAATTTACATCTTGTATTTTCACTTGAATTCAAAACTCATAAAGTAAAAGTTTTTTGTTTTTTTTTTAAATAGAAATACACAAAAGAAAAAATGAAACCACTTTCTAACCGTACACAAAATGCCAACCAACAGTTCGGGTAAAAGTCGCACGACCAACTAAATAACTGACTGTCCAATTGCGGTAAGCAACTTTCATAAGCGCGCTGAGTCTTGCAGTGATAACGGATTTGAAAACCAGCACTGCGAAAGCAAAGCGACAGTCAAAATCGAATGTAAAACAGCAACTGAAGTTGAATCGAAGAAGTGTCCAGCTCTAAATGCCAACTAGCGGCAGCGGCAATGGCATAAACGATGCCAGCGACCATAGCGTCAGTGTGTGGAACGTAGCGATCGCATGGTGCAGATCGGAGTTGTTGACGGAAGCGCTGCGAAGCGACAGCCAGAAAGTTTCGACTGCCAACTACGCACTGAGCGCTAGCGTAAGCGTCGACGGAGACGCTAGCAGTTGCCGTTGGACAGTAACAAGTTCTTTTGCACGAACACGGACACGGCCATGGCCATGGCCAAACTCAAACAGATGTACACAAACTACACAGCAAAGCAGTGAAAGAAACAGCACGGAGAGTCAGCAGAAGTGGAAGCCACAATGCTGAAGAAACAGCAGCAGTAAACGAGAAACGAGTGAAGGAAAGCTGCTGGTGTGGAACGTGCTCGCGTCGGGCTAGCGCGTTGCTTTGCCGCTGCCAGCCTCTTGGAGCAGCAGCAAGTATGTAATTTTTTATGTAACTTGAGGTAACTAGGAAAGAGTAGACAGCTGAAAAATGAGAAAGTAGCTGAAGTCAACCGAGCAAAGCAGTGCTGCTGATGAGAGCTTGGCTTAGACGATAACGCGGACGCTACGCATGCGTAAGCAATATCGTTGGGCTTCGGAAGAAAGTGGCTGACGA